TCACTATTTTTGAAAGTAAGTTAGCCTGGCAGCTTTCTAATGACATATGATCCACCTATTGTACAAGACAGATATGTAGGATACAATTATTACTTCAACATCAGTCAGTCGAGTTCGGATGCACAGCGTAAGGCAGAAAAATCCAATTTAGCAATTTCGAAGCGAATTCAGATTTTAGTGGTCAGCCATCTACAACGACTGGAGTAATCAATACGTATCAGAAGCATAATCCACCGAATGCTGCATCAGCAATGTAATTAAGGTTGCAAGGCTGAACCACTCCACACCGGAAGTTTGAAAAAAGTTAGCAGCTTTGGAGGTAATAGACATCTCGAACATCCAACTCCCCAGGGCGCAAGAGACACGGACGTATACGAGAGTTGCACTTTGGAAGGGGAATTGGCTCCATAATGAGATCTACTTAGTAAACATCGTAGACGTCGTGTGTGTGTGCTGACTGAGCTTAGCTCCTAGAAAAGGCAGCAAGTAGACAGCTAAGTCATGCAGGATTTTCTAAAAAAAATTGGATTTTTGAAAAAAAATAAAGATTTGAACTGACGAAATTTGACCTCGACTTTACTGTGCGTAAAAGTCAGTTGTACAGACTTTCTGCGACGTGCCCTGTTCACGATCAGTGAAACCAAAAACCAATCAACAGTTTCTCATACCTCTTCATCTATCCAGCATCTCAGGTTAGTAGAATGTAAACCGAAAACGTCTGTTCAGGCTAACCTTTATATGTACCGGTCAAGAGCACATTCAAAAGCTTCAACGATTCTGAATGAAAGTTGAAAGCATAGCCCATTCCGATAAGCACTAGGTCAATATTCAGTGTCTTTGACCTTTTTTCTAGCTAAGTTTGGGAGTAGGCCCACCCTACGTCGCATGGAAAGCTCATGAATGTAATAAACAATGCCCGAGCGAAAATGGCAAATATTGATCTCGTTGTTTAAGAGCTTGAACTCAGAAACTATAAGAGATGGCAATGAAGAGAAGGAGCTCGAATCGTAGGCGACTGGCAAAAGCTGGGAGAAACGACTCAAAAGCAATTTGACGCCAGAATTTATAGCCTTGCTACAAAACGGTTTCCGAGTGGAGATTGCTGATGAAGAAAGGGCTCTAGCAATCGAAGGAGGCGGATTAACTAGATTAGAGATTAGATGGTCGAATTCGATGGCAATTTATAAGGTGATTTAATGTGCTTGGGACAAATCAGAGGCAATAAAGCGAAGGTTTTCCTGAGAGGTGAGAAGGGGGGTGGGGTCCTCACTGGCCAGGTGCAAGCTGATAGCGTCACTAGCCATGGCTTGTAAACAGTGATAACGTCCCATTGAACATGAGATATCACTCGCCATAAACTCAACTTCATATTTGTAGAGATTTGTTAGATAACAGACAAGCGGACCATCCTGAAGACCAATTTATCACCTTTCCAGATACAGTGTTGTAAAGTACTTCGGGACTTTAAGAAAATCGTCCTTCCCCTTGAAAATCTATACCTAACACTAAACCCCAATGATTACTTGACTAGGTACGTAGTAATCGCAGAAGCTCAGCTTTGTGCTGAGTTAATTAGCAGTGACTCATCCAATTTGAACATGAACTGGTCAGCGCGAATTCAGAATGAGCCATGCATATGGACTGCTTTCGAAAAGGTAACGGGCCAAAAACGACAAACTGGGGTGGTATGACTCCGGAATAATCTGAAATGTCCACATAACAAGGGTACACTGAAGGGATTGAGTAGATTGGAGAAGAGCTATCTCTTGGGTTATGGGATCTGGTTGTTGTATGACAGATTCCGCAAAAAGGTGTAGTATCTGCTCAATTTCTCAGAAAGAGAAAGAGGAGGGGAAGATGCCCTCACTGTGTGAAAGGCAAATCGGTCATTGAAGTTGTACAAAATCGAAGAAAGGGTCAGACAAGCCTGTGGAGCTTTAATTTGAGCTTTTTAGCGTCCCACTTAACCAAGCCCTAACTAATGCTCTGAAGGTGAGTGTCCTCTACTTACATATTCACTACTACAGCTTTGAAGTAGCTGTGGGCGTCCCACAGGACGGATAAATTTATTGGCATGTAGGGAGCCAATCTTAAAAGAGTGGCGTTGAAAACATTACCCAAAAACCTCAACTAGTCCGGCAAATGACTAAAAAAAATGGGCAGAACTCATCGAAAGAAGGACACAAGTAGGGCGCTAGAATAAGCGAGAAGAAAACTTTGCTCTCAGATTGTGAAATTGTGCAGATTACCATTGGCAACGGATAATTAGACTAAACCTGGGTAGCAATCATTATCGATGCCGTTGTTAGGCTTTCGTCAAAACGGTCATCATCGTCTTCGTAGTAATAGTAGCAGTAGTGGTAGTAGCAGTTACAATTATGTACGTCATCGTCACAATGGGATGCCAATCGCCGTTGTTCCATTCCGCATTTAGAAAAGATGCAGACGACGTATTGCACTACTGGCAGTCTTCCAAAATACGCTAACGAGCGGAAAAGCTTAGATAGCAATGGCCGAAGAACAACTAAAACGTGGCCAAATCAAGGAACTGACTCTAGGGTTCTCTCAACACTCCACGAACTGGAAGATCTCTGGCTCTGAGCAGGAAAACGTCTTTCAGCACGTTTTCTCCTTCATTATGGTATAAAATTAGCCATATCATGCACGAGGGAAAAATAGGAAGCCAAGACGAGGGCAATGAGAGGCAAAGGATATAAAGTGCTATCCGCACCAGTCCTTGTTTTCCAACCAGTCCCAGCAATCCCATTCTGACGATTATGTGCTTTTTCTCAGGAGTGAGCTACATTAAACTGCCAATGATTGTCGGCGTAAATCTAGTCGTTTTGCCGGCAAAACGATGTACGCATGTAGAAGGATCGGAAAAAATGTGAACTCTTTCATGGCAATAGATCCAGTGGACATCGAGGACCCCTCAGTCAATGGAACATGTCAGTTAATTCAGAATAGACTTAGTCGCGCTGATTTCATGACTTCTCTAAACTGGGGTCTAGGTACAGAGCAAACGGTTCTGACAGGGATTTCCACCCAGCGTGTAGTGTGTGACAAATATTGGGCTCCAGAAGAATTCCGGCTCTTTTGATTCACCAGCCAATAACTTTCCAAAGTCGAATGAAGCCACCCACCTACAACGGTCTAGTCCTAGCCTCCATCCACTTGAATCTTATCCTAATCGCTTCCGAATTCCCCTAGTGTCTCTGTTTGCCTTATACACTGTGGTGCACTCATGTCATCACGTCACCTATTTGTGAACTGGGCTACCTTCCTACCCTCCTTGCTAACCTCAAAAAGCACGCACGTATCAAATTCTCAGTTGCGATGACCTCCACTGTAGTCGTGTAAGGATAACCATCCAGAGGATTTTACCCGCTCGAGGGTCGAACCTCGACCCCTGAAGAAGAAGATTGCGTCAAAAAATTTATCACTACATACTCTCACCTGGGCACTTTAGAGGGCACAAGAATTTAGCAGTAGAAGCTAATAACCTGGCTCTCTAGGTTCACATAATCAATTTCGGGTGAACACAATGAGTTCAAAGAAAAATATGATAAAGGTGACAAACAAGAACGACAATACTTTACAGCCCCAGGTTGCACCGTATCCTCATTATCGCTCCACCCTACTTCCAATTCGTGAAACATCACGGAGTGAGAATAAACAATTGAGTAGTTGTAGGATAAAGTAGGGGTTTACGGTAGAAATTCGTATCCGAACTGAGTTCCAAATTTTGTTTACAGAGATTGTGTGTCTGTCTTGATCTTGAATAGCTACTTAATTCAAGAAACGATCCACCGGAAAAGTTCAAAGAGGTATTCGACTTTCTACTAATCAATTGCTATGTTCAAAATGCTTCAACACAATATCTGATTTATCAAATCCTGGAATAGATCGTATCGGGGTAATAATAACATATCATTCAGTAGACTTACCGAATCTTTAGTTTCATTTCTACTCGACTGCTCATCCCGGTTGGCCGGCCCACACATGGGATATACTAACTCCGCCGACGTTCTCGCCCTAAGATATCGAGACGATCGTGAGGTACACAGTTCATTTCTTCATGGTCCATACCAACAGCATTCATTTCCGTGGGTCTTCGGTAGATCCAAACGAGCTGCGATATTTTCATAAGTGTCACAGTCATGCTACACGATAAGAGCTCAATTCGCTTAAGTTTCCCCACTGTCTTAGACAATTGAAGCTAAGATGATCCAACTTCGTTTTTGGAGGGACTTCCAAGCAGGATTGAGCTTGTTGTTACAATGTTTGAAATGATTTTTGAGTAGAGGGGTGTGACCCTTCGGCGCCACAGAATTTTACTATATGGATAAGACTTAAAAATCAGCATAATAATGTTGGCTGGTCGAGGCTTGTATTGAGGGAGAGGGATTCTGACCTCTTCTTCTTCTCCTTAGTCTTGGATATTTTTCTTAGATCAGTAGGTCTGCCGGCATGTCTTAAGGTCTGTTTCACTATTACTTTGTGAATTTATTCGATTTAATCGTAGAGCGTCCATAACGGTTTCTGTTATGGGTGACAAACATTGTGCAGCAGAAGTCGCCATCAGTGATTAAAAGTACTTTTCGCGATAACAGAATGCGATCAGTGAAGAGTGCAGGTTTCCAAACGCATTTAAGGGATGGTCACGGAAATTTTCAAGAAGCTTACCGCATCCGCATGTGTACGAGAAGAACACCAAAACAGGGATCTCTGTACGAGTTTCCGAGGTCCTTGATAACAAATGATATCCATATGATGATACATGATACAGCATATCCAAAGATAACAGCTTTTCGACGTGCACTGTCTCTGGGCTGTACATACATACTAAGGAAATTCGTTCCACTCCCAACCTGAGTGCCCTCTTCCTGAGTAGCCTGCAGAACCAGGTTCTTGCAATGAATCGGAGCCTTGACGTTTACTTCAGGCGAATTTGATGTGATGGCAAGTAACACACTACTACAAAGCAGTGTCCAAGGTAACTGATCCCTGGTAAATATCCACCCAAGCCATCCATTCCTACTGAAGAGGTTAACCGATACCGAACTGATATTAATACTCGTCTGGGAGGATAAATACACTTGCATGAGGTTCGGCTAGTCACCACAGATCGTTGTACTACGTTGTACTGTACTTGGTCATTGTACTAGGCCACTACGATTTTCTGAATGGAAGTCGTATGAGTTAATGGATGAGTACCCGCTCAAAACATTATCCACTTACCAGTCAAAGTTTGCTCTGGTCTTTTGGTTACGCTGAAAAGTCGAGGAATCTAGATTACTCACTTTTTAGGTATCCCTAAGACTATGGAATTTGCATTTGTTCTCTTCCGGGGCATTCAGTAACGTGTATCGCGGATATGCCGAGTCAGACACTAATATACCTATGGAGGTCGTGGTCAAGAAAACATGGTCCGGATCTCGGGAGAGTATGTAATCATGTGTATACCTTTTTCATAACATCGAATAATATGCTATGCTATGCAGTATGTTTCGGAAGTTATCGATTTATTGATTGATTACCGTTTCAGCGACATCACTAACATGTTACGAAATTCATATCTTAAACCGTTTACTTTACAGCTACAAAACACAATATGCTGACAACGTAAGAGAATTCATTTGATTCCTGAAAGCTTCTAGTGAAACCTTTGAACCCAGAATGGGTACTAGACCATTCTATGATATTATCGCTTGACTGGAAGTTCTGATTTTAGACATGCTATTCACTGATATTCGAATTTCTTCCACTAAACCTTTACCAATACCTGAAAAAACACAATCGTCATATAGCCATCATTGAGACGAAAATGTTTGCATGGCAGCTGTTCCGTGGGCAGTTCCATTTGTTGAGGGTCAGTTTTTACAGCTTTGTCGCGAAGGTTTGGGAGCCTTCTAGGATTGAGTAGTGTGAAAACAGCCTTATTTTGCTAGGATACATCGTTTGTTCTTGCACACTTAGCCCATCCCTCCCCCCTTAAGACCCCACAGTTCTTCGCGACATAGCCCTGGAAGGCTTCCTGGTTCGCTCCAGCACGTCCTGTGAACGAGCTGTGCAATCTCTTCAGGCCGGCATTTGCCATCGTGATATTAAACCACAGAATCTGCTTGTTAACGAGAACACCGGCTTACTGAAAATCGGCGACTTTGGGTCGTCTGCACTCGAGCCAAGAAAAAGCCCTCAGCCCAGCTATCATGTGACGAGGTGAGCTTTCTGCTCTTCGCTAATCAGGGCAAGTTGCCTTAGGGTGCTGCCTTATCTGCTGAAAACACTATTCACGAATCCAAATTATTCGCAAAAGACTCAGTGTTGTGATTATTTCAAGGTACTACCGGCCACCAGAGCTCCTACTCGGCTCGAAAGTCTATGGTTGTGAAGTAGGTGAGTTACGGAATGGTTTTGGATTAGGCAGGCTCCTACTGCACCGACAGGACAAGCGACGGTTGAGCGGATGGCAGGCAAATAGCCTATCAGAAAAGGAGTTATCAGAGCGGTTGTTGGTTTCGTTTTGGAGTAGCCATTTAGGCTGAGGTGCTTAAGAGTCATGCTCCACGCTCTATTTTCATATGTTGTAACGAGGAATGAATGGTGATGATTGGATAGGGATCAAGACTTTTAGTTAGGATAGGATGCGCTATGCGTTAACCTTTTGTTAGAATTAATGGGGGACTTGGAAGCGAGGTACGTAGTAAGTAATAGTTCACGCAGTACCTACTTGGGTGCCTATAAGCCAATCTAAACTGAATTCGTGAACATTCTCTGGAGCTAAACAATCTTGGGTTCCGAAAAGGCAATCCATCGTTAATCTTACCGCATAAACTTGCATAAGCTACT